CTCCTAGAAACTTTATTGTTTTGTTGCATGTAAATCTAAAATCCACCTGGAATTGATTATTGGTGTGAAGTAGAGGTCAAGTTTCATTTTTTTCCACATGGATGTCCAATTGACCCAGACCTTTTTACTGAAAAACAAACAAACAAACAAACAAAAAACAAAACACACACACACACACACACACACACACACACACACAAAACAAAAACATTTCCCCCACAGGTTTGTGAATCTGCCTTTGTAATAAATCAAGTGACTATATGTATTAAGAGTCTCTCTGGGCTTTCTGTGTTTTATTGGTTAAACTGTCTATCTTTGCACTAGTTATATACCATTTTACTTACTGTTGGTTTATGACATGTCCTAACATCTGGTAGAGCAAAGAGTTGCACCTTGTTCTACATGAGTGTCTTGGGCTTTGTTGGTATTTTGCATTTTAACATATATTTTAGAAGCAGCTTCTAAAGTTATATAAATAGAACTGGGAATTTTGATTACTAATGCATTGGATCTGTAAATCTTTTAGGCATGCATTGACATTTCTATAGTATTGAATCTTATAGTCCATAAATATGGCATAGCCCTCTATTATATATTTATTTTATTGTCTTTTATTGCTTTCTCATAAAGTTTTATTATTTCTATAAGATTTATTCCAAGATATTTGATATTTGTAGGGGCACTATAAATAGTATCTTTATAGTTTCATTTTTTGAATATTTCTGTAACAGAAATATAAAGAAATGTTATATATTGAATTTGTACCTAAGACACTTGCAAGACTCATTAATTCTAGTAATTTACCTCTTAATTCTTTAATATTTTATATAAATTATCATAACATTTATAAATAATAACAGTTTTTCCTGTGTTTATACTGCTAGCTTGCATCTTCCCTCCCTCTCCCTCTTGCTCATTTTTTTTTGTCTTACTGTATGACTAGGCCAATAGAATACTGAATAGAAGTTATTTTAGCAGGTGTTCATGTACTATTCTTGAGCAAATGGAAAGTCTATCTTTTAACTAATACGTATGATGTTGGCTGTAGATATTTTAGGAATATACTTTATCAGTTAAATTGTAAGCTTTATCAGATAAACCTGATTTTCCAAGAGATTTTTTTGTCATGAATCAATGCTTAATTTGTCAAATTATATTTATGCATCAATAGAGAGGAGAATATTATTTTTCTTCCTTATTTTGCTAATGTGGTGAATTCACTGATTGATTTTCAAATCTTGAACCAATCATTTATTTCTGGCATAATACCAGCTGGAATTGATGGGAGATTTATTTCATAAATTGCTGGCTTCAGTTTCTTTTTTAAAAAAATATTTTTATTGATTTCAGAGAGGAAGGGAAAGGGATAGAGAGCTAGAAACATCAATGCTGAGAGAGAATCATTGATCGGCTGCCTCCTGCACGCCCCCCACTGGGGATTGAGCCCACAACCCGGGCATGTGCCCTTCTCCAGAATCGAACCCGGGACCCTTCAGTCTGCAGGCCGACACTCTATCCACTGAGACAAACCAGCCAGGGTTGGTTTCAGTTTCTTAATGTTACTTTAGGATTTTTGCTTCTATGTCCATCCGTGAAATTGGCATGTAATTTTCTAGGTTTTAGAAAGCCTCTTTTGTTTGCTTCACAAACTCTTTTATCTTCTCCTGTCCAGAGTACTTCTCCTGTGAGATTTGCTGCCTTAGATAATGGTATCATCATCCATATGCTCATGCACTCTTAAACCCCACACCCACACTCACTCCAATCAAATACCAATTCTGCCAACTTCCACCTTTTAAATTCCATATCACTCAGTTTCCTTACTTTTTCATGCCATCAGCTCCTTTACCAGTTCAGGAGGCTCTTTCTTTTATTGTTCTGGTGGTCCATATTAAGATTTCCCTATCACAGTTTTGCTCTTTTCCATCTATTTTCCAACTTGCAGTGCAATGAACTTTTAAAATGACAGATTCTATAATGCAACATTCCTTTTTAACATTTTTCAGCCACTCCTCATTGAATTCCTTTGATTTCCTCAAATTGGCCATATTTTCTCTCATATCCAAGCTTTGCCCATACTATTTGCTTTGCCAGTAACATTCACATTAGTACACAAACTGCAGTTCTGGTGGAGGAGGTGGATTTCGGGGAGGGTGGATGCATTGAGCAGAAAAGAAAAAAGAGAGAGAGAGAACTCATGGACATGGGCAAACAGTGTGGTGATTGCAGGGGGTGGGTGGAGGTGGAAGAGGGCATAGAGAGTGAGTGACCAGATTTTGCTGATCTATTTCTAATAATCTAAAAATCTGGGGCTAGTAAACACTCCCCAACTCCTGTACTTATACTACTCAAAGCAATAGTCAGGAGCCTTTATATGGCAGAGAATTTTTTCAAGATTTACAATGAATTCTCCTTGGTTTGCACAGCAAGTAATGTGAATTATGGGCTACTTTTCCAGAAATGCCACTTCTATTACTTTCAAATGGGCACCATAAATGTGCTAGGCTAACAAAATGCTGCCAAGATGTTTTGCCAAATATAGATCTTTGTGGGAATTAAAAAACAACAACAAAAACCTACACAGTGGAGCTGAGGAGTTAAAGAAGGAGCAAGGGTTGGCAGGAGGCTGGCTATTCTAGAAGCAGTGCATGGAGAGGAACAAAGGCAGTTCAGGAGCTACTTTTAAAACACGATCTGTCTGCTCTATCCTTTATTGTCTGCTTGGAGGAAGCATGTCATGCCTGACTCTTGTGCTCACTTCTGGGTAGCACAGTTATGTGCAAAGAGAAACTTCTTGTGAGGAAAGTGACCACGGTGATGAGGACTCATGGAAGGTGCTAAGGAACCTGGCTAAAGTGATACTTGAAGAACTTGCAGATAAAAAGGCAAAAAAAATGTTTTGTGTACACTGATGGCTACAAGAACATAAATAATTACACATGCACAGAAATATTCAGGGATGCAGACTTCATCTCCAAATTAGAAGGAACTATCTACAGACCAGAGCTGCCTCAGTGTGGAAAGAGCTGCCGCCTGAGGCACTATGTTTCCCCTTGTTTCAGGTATTCAAGCTGGGGTTAGTCAGTTATACAAAGTGCATTTATAGTACTAGAGGCCCAGTGCACGAAATTCGTGCACTGGGGAAGGGAAGGGTCCTTCAGCCCGGCCTGCGTCCTCTCGCAGTCTGGGACCCTTGGGGGATGTAGCAGTGCGCCAAGTGGCAGGCGGCCAGGGAAGAGCCCAAATTGGGGCTGGGCACCACACTGCTCGCACTCATCTCAGCCCGCTGCTCCTGCTGCAGCAGAGTTGGGAGAGGCTCCCACCATGGCAGCTGCACTCACCAGCTGTGAGCCCGGCTTCTGGCTAAATGGCGCTCCTCCTGTGGGAGCACACTGACCTGCATTGAGTGTCTCCCCCCTGGTGGTCAATGCACATCATAGCGACCGGTCTTTCTGGTTGTTCTGCCTTAAGGGACGCTTAGGCTTTTATTATATAGATGAGGGCAGGTTCTAAGACTCAGACTATATCGCAGACTAATGAAGTACCGTGTCTGAAGATTGGACACAAGAATCAGTAGTGTTTGAAGCTTCCTAGGTGATTCCAAAATGCAGACAAGTTTGGGAAGCCCTGCATCAGAGGGAGGTTTCAACCCCTCAGTGGTTTTCCTGCATCAGAGTGTCTAGAAGAGATGAAAGAAAAGTACAGATTTCCAAGCACTACCCGGTAGCTTCTGAATTACCAGTTTGGTGGACCCCAGGAATCTATATGATTAAGATTATTTTCAGGTGATTCAGTTTTCTATCTGGGTTTGGAAATTATTGGATTATATGACCCCTTTAAGGAAAATGCCTTGTGCATTCTTTTGTATTGATTTCAGAGAGGAATGGAGAAGAGAGAGAGAGAGAGAGAGAGAGAGAGAGAGAGAGAGAGAGAGAGAGAGAGAGAGAGAGAGAAACATCAATGATGAGAGAGAATCATTGATCAGCTGCCCCCTGCAAGTCTCCTACTGGAGATAAAGCCCACAACTCGAGAATGTGCCATGACCGGGAATTGAACCATGACCTCCTGGTTCATAGGTTGATGCTCAACTACTGAGCCATGCCAGCTGGGCAACCTTGTGCATTCTTAATTCAGCAAGGTTCTTGACAAACTCATTTATGGTATCCTGCACTTAAAATATGTAATATGAATTGGGACAGGTATGTCTGGAACAAAATAAGGGCTTTAGATTCAAAGGTATCTGAATTCTAACTCTGTTATTTACTACTTATTTGATTTACAAAAATTCACTTCTCAATAGCATCTTAAAATGGAGTCATAACCATTTTATAGGTTGATTTTGAAGTTTAAATGAAATTATTTATGAAAAGAGTCACTGTAGCACCGTGTCTAGTTTTATTGGGCTGTTTTCTAAACTCTGTGGTTCTATGAATGCTGTAATTAGTGAGTGGAACTAGGCAGCGTATACTAGTACACATGCTGGATGAATGTATGTGTATTCCCTGTTGATTTTTAGCTTCAATGTGCTTTAAATCCTTGGTTTTAATATTCTGTTTTGGTTCAGGAATTATAATTGGTATTTTAAAGGGGTGAAAATAATGCCTTTCATTTGCTATTGCTTTTATGTGGGCTATCACGAATGTCTTTTTTTCTAAATTGGACTTTTGAGATAAGATTTTGTATTAATTGTACTATAAGTGATGGGGGAGAATTAACTGTGTGCTTATTTTATCACAGGTTTATAGGAACTGTGTAATTTTCAAAATGGAAAACTGTGAAGAAAGAAAAAGATAGCAGTTGGAGTTAAAATTCCAGGAGGAACATTGTGATTTTGAGACGTCAGCATTTAGAAACGATATGTTGATTTGGAAAGTCCTGGGAGTAAATTGCAAAATTCATTTTTTCCATTCACTCAATGGATTTTTTCATCGTTCCTTGGAGTTGATGAAGTTCAGCAACGGTGTGTGATGGGAAATGTGGCGTGCCGGTGTTTTCCTAGGGATTGCATCTTGGATTAGTTTGCTGCTGTTTTGAAGAGATTCCATTTTGAAGGGCGGAAACCTAATGTGATGGATTTATCTTCAGAGATGAACAGACATGGGAAGAATCCAGTGAGCCACAAGCTAGAAGATCAGAAGAAGGTAACACAAGTACATTTCCTTTCACTTGCTCCTTTTTGTTTATGTTTGAAGAGAATTTTTAAAATTGAAAATGAATGTGTTTTAGGAGATAAAATAACATATCACTTCATGGGAGTAAATCCTGCCATAAAGCCAAGTGTTACTATGGGTCTGGATTTCATTAGCAGTTGGTTTTGTTTCTGGTCTTCTGAATGAATCTGTCCAATAGGTTGGCAAAGGATTCCACTTTGCTCTCTTACTCTTGACTTCTGGTGACCTGCTGGCCTGACCTCATGTGAACAGTTTTCTGAGATCCAGGGAGAGGTCTGCTTCATGGGGCGTCTCTGGGGTCATGGAGCAAGTTAGAGCTCTCCCCAAAAGAGAACACCTGCCTTCCTGCCATTAGGTGCCATGGTTGGCATTTGAAAGTCTCCAGTTTCATGTCCCTGGGGAACTTCAGTGTAAGCCTTCTCATTTTTACAGCTGGCCTGGGAAGAGAGTCATGAGGCAACTGTGATCTGACTCTTCAAGTGTGATGTTGAAGGAATTAGTGGAAAATATCAAGCAAGGACTGTGCTAATATGTTTTTAAAAATGGGTTTAGAGGTTTCTGAGTAAGAAGCTGGAATTGAATACTAAGGGTTGCACTTAAAGCCTCATTTTCTATCTTTTTAGAAACTCTTACCTGCTAAACTACAGTACCATTGTGAGACCCATCTAGAGAGCACTTATCAGAAGGGTCAGAGACGGTGCCAGGAGAGAAGCCCTCTCATGATGAAATGCATTTTCTTTCATTGACTCCATTAATACAGGAGAGGTGTGTGGGGACCTGGTGGCCAAGGCACAAAGGCAACGTAGAATGAGATAATAGAAAGGAGATTTTTTTGTTAGACCTGGGCCTGAGTGGCCTGATTAAGGTTTATTTTTATCTCTGTGTTAGATATTATTTTAGTAGTCACTGTGTACTCTCAGAAGACAGCTAGCTCGTTCACAGTTCTGGAGGTGAATTTACAAGAGACCATACAGAGTCAATAGCTTATTAATTTGTTCTGACATTATGACCAATGCCACCAGAATAGGGGCCACAGTGATTCCTTTGCACCAATTCAGGCAGAAATGGATGGATTATTTATGTCCAATTGGGTTCATTCATTGGGTTTACCTATAGTATAAGTAAATCTCAGAGAATACTAAGTACTATAAAATCCAAGTGGCTGGAATCAATTTTCACATTAATGTGGATATAAATTTCTACACAAATGAGTGTTACCAAGAATACTCGTGTTTCAAGCAGCCAGCATTTTTTTTTCCTGCTGGCACTAATGGTGTTAATCCAAAAGAGATGGCGAGATACATTTCCATTGAAAGCCTGCTCTGTAGTTTCTTAACTACTGAGGAGCCATTTAATTATTTTTCTCTATCCACATTCTTAAAATATCCTTAATTCTGATGGCAATTTGCCTACTGCATTGGGTGAAAGAAGAGGGAAGTTGGTAATAGGTAAGCAATTAATATTACCAGTTCCAATTTTTGATAGAAATTCTGCTTTTCTCATAGGAAAGAAAAGTACCTTTGTAGGTGTTTTTTTTTTTTTTTCATTTTCTGAATAAGAGATATTTTCTGCAAACATAGAGGGATTGCAAGCTGAAGAATGAGATGAATTGTAAAAGTCATTCTGAAAATTCCTTGTATGGAACTTTAAACAATGGTCTATGATGATGCTTACTTTCCCAGGCCAATTCACAAAGGACTGTTCAGCTCCTAAGAATAGCAATAGACTTTAGACAAATTATGGAGAGCCGTGATTCTGTGGGAAAATTAAAAAGACCAACTTGGTATTAGGGGACAAGAGGATCCCATTTCTCTGTGGCTTCCATGTAGTCGGTAGGGAGACGGGGGAGGAGTGGACATTAACAATGAGCAGTAGCAAGATGGAAAATGGGGTTGTAATGAATTCCTGGTCACCCAATTGATATCAGTATTCACACTGACTAAGCCTGAAACCCAGATACTAATTGATCAGTTGATCAATACTTAAGATGCACATTTATTAAGGGTCAGCAGCAACATCTAGTTTCAGTGACAGATTTGTGAGTTTGTCTTATGGAGGAAAATGAAATATAGCATCATAAATCTTTGTAGACTAAGCTCTGGGCAGAGCCCTGCCACCACACAATTGCCAGTCAAGGTTATAAGTTCATTCATGTAATTACTTCAAGCGCTTGTAGTCTTTCATGATAAATTAATTGAACAGGCACAGTGTTGCACATCAGTGAAATAAGCTACATTTATTCTAACTCGAGACAATCCAGAGGTGAAGTATCATTGTGGTATTACTGAAAAATATGTTTTCCCCCCACAGTGTTTGTTTGATATACAGCAGATATTAAAAAAAAAGATGCATTGAATTGACTTCAACATAACCTCCTATTTTGAACACTGCACAATTAACTGATTTCTTGTTCAGTCTACAATAGCTTGCTAGCTTTGTTATTAAATTATAATGTGTGGATTTGTACTTATTCTCTGCTTCTAAGTAGAAACTGTTAGGGCACTGAGCATGTGAGTTTGTGAGTATGTGTTCTACTGCAGTGAGTAGGTGAATGTCAGGGAAGAGGTCATTTATGGAGTGCTTACTATATACTAGCTGATGCTTGCTCCTTTCCCATTCATTAAGAAAGTATCTTCCTACAAAGGTAAAAGCTGCTTTTACTCCCATAAGAGAGTTGTCCCTATAAAAATAATTAAGTTGCTCAAGAATATACACACACGCACTCTAAAAAAAAAGAATATATATGTTGAATATATATATATATATATATATATATATATATATATATATATATATAAATATATATATGTGTGTGTGTGTGTGTATGTGTATATATATTTCAACATTAAAGCATTTACTGGTAAAAGTATGTGTGACTTTTGGGGCTTTTTAAAAATAATGCCTTCTTACCTTACAAAATTTGAACAGAGGAAACCTACCTGAAAGTTAACAGGTATCCTATCCACAAGTCCTACCTGAAGTGCTCTTCACTATGGATAAACCAGAGGTGTGGGTGTTCTAGAAGTTGAGAATACCCCCTAAGACTCTCAGATCAACGTGGATTAGCATAGGGTGAGGTGGAATTCATTTGCACTTTTGATTCCTGTGATTTTTATCAGCGGGACTTCCGGTTGCTTTTAGCCCTGATGGGATATTCCTGTTCTTGACGTTCAGCTTCTGGGCTTGTCATAGCATCTCAGAGCTCCTCCTGTATGCTCATAATGTGTCTTATTTTTGAAAACTGACCTTTTGATCCTTGTTTGCTCAGTGATGCCAGCGAGGTTGGTATATTACTTTCCACTAATTTTATTGCTTTGAGGGATGATTTCTGCAAAAGCCCCCAGGACAGTGAAAGCTCAATAGGCACAAATGTCACTATGATATAATTAATTGTGACCTTGAACGGAAAAGCAGAGCTCAGTAGACTTTGCTGTCAGTCTAATTGCAGGCAGTTTGCAGTTCAGACAGCCTTGGGGCACTGCTTTATTGCTCCACAAATATTTTGTGTATTAAATCAAAGCATTCGTCATAGTCAACAATTTATTAGCACTACTAAGAGGACAGCGGGATACACATTTTGAAATTATGGCAGTGATCATGCAATAAATACTTGGTGGCCTGTTAGAATTATTTTGTTTCTGTGGTATCTAACCAGAAAGGGTGAACATCATTATTGCATATACATAGAGATATTTACTTTCATGGAAAGGTCTAAAATTAATGCCATCTCTGTTTTGTTATTGTTGGTGTTTTTTCACTTTCTAAAATCATGTCCTTTATAATGTTAGTCGGTCAGCATTATTTTCACACTGCCAAGCAAAAAGCTCAAGATGAGTTCCAACATACCATGTTTGTCTTGCTAAGAGATGATAGTTATTTCAGAAACGACACACTCTGGGTTCAGTGAAGGAGACTGTTTGAAATGTGGGAAGTCATGTAACCATGAGAGAAATGATTGTATTAATAGAAAAGTGGATGATAATATGAAGAAAGACTTATTTTAAGGGTGGCCCTGTGATATGGCAGACTTAAAATTGTTTAAGCAGAAAGTTGGATAAAGAAATAACTGTAAATAACAGTGAATTCTTCATCAGTATCTATTCACACAGACTAAGTTTGTTCTTATTTTTTTCAGTTGACCTGAAACAGTAATGTGGTGCAGGTGCCTATGTACATATACCTGTGTTAGGCCAGTTTCATTTTTTTTGTTTGTTTGTTTGTTTTGTTTTGTTTTTACTGAGTAAAAGCAATTTATCAATTTAAAGGTGGCAAAATTCTTATTTTACTATTTTTTAATATGCTGGTTCTTTTAATTTAAACTACATGTGTTGCATTTTCTTGTGGTGCTGGTAAAATAGTATCATGTAAGAGTCAAGAAATATAGTGGGATCATTCTCACAGGTGTTGAGAATTACGTGAAATTGTTTATGTTGGAAACTGATTAAAGATCTGTCTTCTTAAGAGAAAATATGAAGATAAATCATGAAAATGGAGAAGGCTTAGGATCGATTCAGCCCTTTCATTCTTTGATCTTCTTGAAGGATGGCCTCATTAAATGGTGCTTTATTTTTATAAATCTGCCTGACTTCTTTATTGTTCGTGTGTATGAGATATGTTAAAAGGACCACGAGGGGGGGTGAGGTTTCTGAAGCAAAACCACATCATTTATTAATCATCCAATCCTGAAGCATGACAGCTAAGAGGAATGGGTTGTCTGGGGGTTTCAACAAAATTGGTTAGTCATCCAGTACTGATTATCCACACTTTTAATTTCTGAAATACATTGAGCAGCCATTCTGCAATGTTGTTATACTAATCTGGAATACATGTTCAAACACAAATATGAATGTCAAGTTCACAAAGAAGCTGGTACTGGAGTTGTGATGTACTGTGATGCCAGTTGAGACTGCCCCTAATTTCTCCCTGTGTCCTGTTGTTTTTCATAAAAGGATGCTGCAAACAGCCGTCTC